CCCACCCAAAAAACGTCATCCCCGGCCTCTACTGAGAGCCACTGTCGGGACCCCAGGCCTAGATCACCAGCCAGACCTTCCAGACCCAACCGCCGGCCCCGTGAATCCCAGTCATCTGCTGAGTGATGCCCAAAAGGCTTAAAATGTATGTTTTGTTCCACCAGCCTCTGTGGCAGGTAGATAAAAAAATATTTTTTACCAAGCAAAATATTTTTGTCGCCATAATACATAACAAATCCCCAACAAAAAAACAGAAGACCATGTAATGTGGTGTATTGCTCAAGTCTTTAACCAAAATATCAGATGAGACAAAATGTACAGCTGCCCCTTTAAGGGTGGGAGGTTACCATGGTAAAGGGCCCACTCGAGTCGTGTCACCTGTTTCTGTAAGATTTGGGATCTGACTAGTAGTAGACGGCGTCTCTTCGCTATCAGTTTCAGCAGCAGACTCAAACTAACATTGAAAACCGAGCTTGTGAACAAAACAATGTAAATAGCCAAGAAACATGAGGATAAAGTCTCACTTTGTAGATTTTCGAGTAAATTAGACAATAATGAATCTATCAGCACTTCACTTTGCCAAGCAGTGAGGCTGCGCGAGGTGAGATATAAGATTCATATTTCTTTGTGCAACTACCAGCTATGAAACAAAACAGCAGAAATACTTTGAAAACAGCTACTGTAGCATTTTTCTGCTTTAAATCGCAACTCGCACATGTGCTCATACTTGACTTTTGACTATTTTTATTAGCAAATGCGAATGTAATACTTGGACTGCAGAGTCCTGCAAATTGACCACCAGCCAAATTGGGTCGCCCCAGCCAGAAAGCCCACCACACCAGCTAGCTCTGCTAGCCCATCTTGCCACTCCCGAGCGGCTACCTACAGCGGCAACAAGGCCAAGCCATTAGCCGTCACAGACAAGACGGTGGTCAGCCTCCAGAGGTTCCTCCGCGAGCGGGCAATCCCTTTTCACCGGGGAGATCCCAAAGCTGTGCTTTTTTCATTCTACACCAGGTCCCTTGGTGGAGAAGGCCCCACTAGCACGTCCACCGCCGCCAGCAACGAACAGCGGAGTGCCGACGATGACGTTACGCCCCACAATCCCATTCGCAGTGACATTACCCACCCGTCTCAAGATGGCAGAGCATCTGCTCCCCCAGCTCCCTCTACCGGCTCCCCCTGCTGGCCCTGCGTTCGCCGTCAACACATTTGTGTCTATGTTTTCCCCCATCCCTGCCCCCCTCTCCATTTTGTCTTCTCTGTTGTCCATGTTCTCATCTCTGTGCCTGCAGGCCACAAACAAATACCTCTCTACCCCAATTATCCCATCTACCAATCTTCCTTCTAATCTAATGGGTACGACTGCAGCCCCCCCACCCTCCATCCCCTGCATGATCACAGCTATGGCCTGGGGATGGTTGCTCTCTGCTCCTAAGGTCCCTATTTCCCACCCCCAACTCCCGCTGCCAGCAGGCCACTCTCTCCCTCTCCCTGCTCTCTCTTTTTATCTGAACACATGAACTCTTCCCATATCCCCTATCTCGCCCCTCTATCTTTCGTACCTAAACAAAGATTACGCCCTGGCATCCGACACAGTCTTCCTGCTGCCTCATCCGGCTCTTCTCCCCCTGCTGGCCCGGAGGTCCGTTCATGCTGCCTCTTCAGCCGCTGTTCCCCCCTGCTGGCCCGGCAGTTGCAGCCATCTCGTCCTCGTGCCCGCAGGTCACAATTCCATCCGTCCTCATCCCCAGTGCAACCCGCAACATCCCCCACTATCACCACCAGCACAACGTGCAACCCCCCCACCCCGATCATCCCATCTACCTCTCTTCCTTCAAATCTCTTGAATACGGTTGCTACCACCACCACCGAGGCTGGATGCTCTCTCTGTCCCTAAACACTCTATATCCAACCTTCTACCTTCTTCACAGGCACCTTCCACATCGGTTGGCTCGGAGACCTGAACCCACCACCACCGCCGCTCCATCCACAGCTGACTTCTACACCATGAGAGGCCTCAACAGCTTCACTATCCCAACCATCTCCCGGATCGCCTGCGCTCCTCCGGCAGATCATCCAGGACCCAGCCGCAAGAGCCTTCGACCTGGCCTCATCAGACTTTGTTCCAGCCTTCGACCCAGCCTCATCAGACTTCGACCCACCTTCGACACAGCCTCATCCGCGATCGACACCAGCCTCCAACCCGGCCCACCAGTCTTCATCCCAGTCTTCAACCCAGCCTCGTCATTGTTCTACACTAGCTTCCAACCGGCCCCACCAGTCTTCGTCCCAGCCTTCAACCCAGCCTCATCAGCCTTGGACCTGTCTGCACTCCACCGGCAGATCATGCAGAGCAACCTCCATGTCCCAGAGCTTCCCCAATCTTCGGCCTTTGTCAGGATTCCTACTGGGATTCCCTTCATGACAGTCACCATTCCTTCACGACCCCATGATTCTGCCGCTACCAGATGCCATTGCAGTCCGTGCATCTCGTACGATCACAGCCTTCAACCTCCCAACTTCCTCACTCACTATTCACTGAAGCCCGTCCATCCTGTTCACCCGGTTCACATTCAATGAGCGATGAAGTGTCTCTCCATTCCACCACCACCATCCCTCAGCCTTCGGACAGCCCCTGTCTCAGCCTCCAAAGCCTTCTTCGTGATGGCCTCGTACCGACTCCTCCATCATCTGGGCCCGTTGCTTGCATCCACGGTACAGATTTTTTGCGGGGATCTTCAGCAACATCACCTACAATACCTCCCGGATCCCTACCCTCCTCCACCACATGAGCACCGGTCTGCTGTACCAGTCTGCCAGCAACCTTACACCTTGGCCTGGTTCACAAGCAACCTAGATGTTCTACATACCGAACATCCACATTATTGATCAAAAGTCTCCATGCCACCTTCCGCCACTCAACGAAACAACAATCTAGCCTATATGGTCTATGTGTTCAAACTCACAAGCTGAAGAAGAATGGGCCTCCCCGTCAATCGAAGTGTCTCTCAAGGTTTCTTCCTTACAAGGAGTTTTTCCTTGTCAAGCTGGCTCTCCAGAATTCCCCCTTCAAGTCCTGTTCCTCACAAGGTTTCTTCCTTCCAGGTAGTTTTCATTGGTCATACTGACTCCAGGTTCTCCCTGCCGCATATAGTTCCACACAAGGTTTCTCCCTTCTAGGGAGTTTTCCTTGCCAAGGCAACCTATCCGGCATCTCCCTTGTCGAGTTTAGTTACTTAAAGTTTCTTCCTTCCAGGGAGTTTCCTTGCTTATGCTAGTTCTCTATCTCTACAGAATCGCTTCCTACCAAACTTCAACTGATGCTGAATTATCGCCACTTCCAACTCATTTGATCCTGCCCGTCACCCTGGCATCTTTGACATCACCATCCAATCTCAAGGCTCCCTTATCTTCACCTTCAAAAGAAGCAAAAGCAGCTCGGTTAATCCACCCCGTCTTCCTGTATCGCCTCGGTAGTCCTGACTTTTTGGGGTCTGCACTGCACAAGCCAGCTGCCTCAAATAGGACTCCTTTGCCAAACACCCAGAGTCTCAATCCCCACCTGATCCTGTCACTCCTCCATGACCACTCCACCACGACCTGAATCACTACGCCACTCCATCATCAAGAGCAGCTCTCTCCTCCAGCACTTAAGACAAACACACCCCTCCACCAAGAGCACCTGCTCTTCATAAACTATGCCACTCCACCAAGAGCGCCCGCTCTTGTATGTCTTCAAACTTCATTACAAAAAGGTGCCTTTCGCTTCCAAAACAAAGGTTTTTGAGAGGCTTGTGGGCGGAATGTTGATGATCTTGCCCACTGTATACGCTTTCAGTAGCCTGATTGATCCATTCAATGAATTCTCAATTGGCGCTGATGAAAATGTATCTAAAGTGCATTATAGTGGCTTGAAAATAGAGGTGAATGCATATTCAAAAGGAGTCTCATCATGCATTTAGTTATTGAGCTTGTTTTGGGTTATTTCATGGGGCTACAGATGACAAACAATATATTTCCCTTCCATTTGGGACTTCATTTATTGTACTGATCAACAACATTTGCATAGAAGTAGCTTAGTTTATAAAAGTCTGCGCTGTCTCTTTAGCCAGTAATGACGTCATTCACGAGGCAAGAGGGAGGTGGCCCAGAGTTAATTTCGCTGAGGCAATAGATGATCTTTGGGAGAGACGTGAGAGAGAGACCGATTTAAGTGAATGAATACAGTTTAGATGGAAATCAGCTTTGAAATCAGCATATTTTGTGTTATGCTTTGCATATTATCACAAACAAGGTACCAGGTTACTGAATCGATGATAGCTTCAGCTGTAAGTTAGCATTAAAGTTAGCCTACAAAGCTGGAAGCTAACGGTATCTTCATTCAGTTTCAACATTTGTACATGCCGTGTCACATTATTCAAGTGTGTTAACTTCTGTGCAGCATGAGTGGGGAGCTAACATGATGCGGCCCAGATTCCCAGTGCAGGCTAAGTGGAGCAGGCAAAGTGCTTTCGCAATAAAAGGGGGACAACGGCTGTGCTGATAGACAGAGTTGATCCATGAGACACATTTGACAGAAGTACCGAAAGTAACATAAATTGTAGTAACAAACTGTTTTTCATGTTCTAGTATCGAAAAAGTACCAAAGTTTCGGTATACAGTGCAACACTACTTGATAATACAATGACATTTCAAAAGGAGGCAAATAATTAGTAGGAGAACATTTAGTCATCATTGTGATGTTGTGAGATTGACTTTAGATGTATTATAATATTAGTTAGCTAGCTAGAATTGATTGGAGAGAGCACCTGATTTTTGCTAGCATTGGTAGGTATTTTTGACAAACTTTGCTTGCTATGGCAACATTGCCATCTGTCTAAAGTAAATTTGACGACATCATAATGACAGCAAATCATTTCCTACTAATTATTTAGCTGGGCTTCAAGGTGGAGAAATACATGGCCTCAGAGATCTGTGAGAAGTCAATCGCAGTCTCCATGATCAACCATGACGGTAAAATTATTCATGTGGAGGACGTGTGGCTGATCACCAAAGAACACATACAGAAATGGGGTACCTTTAATCTGCTCATTGGTGGGAGCCCGAGCAATGACCTGTCCATTGTGAATCCAGCATGGAAGGGACTGTTTGAGGGGACGGGACGGCTGTTTGTTTTGTACTACTGGCTGCTGCACATCATGAAGCCCAAGGAGGAGGACCTGTGGCTGTTCTTCTGGCTCTTTGAGAACATGGTGCTCATGAAGAACCATGTTAAGGCCAACTTCTGCCGTTTCCTAGAATGCAACGCAGTTCTGGTGGATGCAGTGAAAGTGAGCCCACAGAGCATGCTACTTCTGGGGGAACATCCTTAAGATCAACAGGTCCATCACAAAGTCAACCTTCAGGATTGCATAGAGATTAGAAGAGTAGCTACATTTACCAATGTTCGGACTGTTAACACAAACCCAAACTCAGTCAAGCAGGGCTCCCTGTCTCAGAGAAATGCTTGGAGGACAACTTGTGGATTACGGAATTAGAGAAGATTTTAAATTGACTGAAATACTACACGAACGTAAAGAACATGAATCTCCAGCAGAGGCAGAAGGTGCTAGGGAAATCCTGTGATTCACCACCTCTTTGCCTCTTTGAAAGACTATTTACCCTACGAACAGCTTCCCCCCTTCCCTTCCAGTCCAACAAGAAGTTTAGCAACAGCCACAGAGATGGGGGTGGGGTCAATGGGAGATGCTCTGTGCTGTAGCCCTATTGAGTCACAGCTGGATTCACACACTCATGAGAATCTATAGCAAAAAGAGTCAACATACGAAGAAATAAAGAAAACGTTGTTTTTACTTCAGTTAAATGATGATGACCATGCCAAGTGAGAAATTGATAATGTGGTTCCCCATCTTCATGAAACAAATAAATACAAATATTTTTGAGTGTGCAGGTCACCACATCACTACAAGCAAGAGCGAGTCCCGTCGTCATCCATACATCTATTATTCTTGCTCCTCTAAATATACAGTGGGGAAAAAAAGTATTTAGTCAGCCACCAATTGTGCAAGTTCTCCCACTTAAAAAGATGAGAGAGGCCTGTAATTTTCATCATAGGTACACGTCAACTATGACAGACAAATTGAGGAAAGAAAATCCAGAAAATCACATTGTAGGATTTTTAATGAATTTATTTGCAAATTATGGTGGAAAATAAGTATTTGGTCACCTACAAACAAGCAAGATTTCTGGCTCTCACAGACCTGTAACTTCTTCTTTAAGAGGCTCCTCTGTCCTCCACTCGTTACCTGTATTAATGGCTCCTGTTTGAACTTGTTATCAGTATAAAAGACACCTGTCCACAACCTCAAACAGTCACACTCCAAATTCCACTATGGCCAAGACCAAAGAGCTGTCAAAGGACACCAGAAACTAAACTGTAGACCTGCACCAGGCTGGGAAGACTGAATCTGCAATAGGTAAGCAGCTTGGTTTGAAGAAATCAACTGTGGGAGCAATTATTAGGAAATGGAAGACATACAAGACCACTGATAATCTCCCTCGATCTGGGGCTCCACGCAAGATCTCACCCCGTGGGGTCAAAATGATCACAAGAACGGTGAGCAAAAATCCCAGAACCACACGGGGGGACCTAGTGAATGACCTGCAGAGAGCTGGGACCAAAGTAACAAAGCCTACCATCAGTAACACACTACGCCGCCAGGGACTCAAATCCTGCAGTGCCAGACGTGTCCCCCTGCTTAAGCCAGTACATGTCCAGGCCCGTCTGAAGTTTGCTAGAGTGCATTTGGATGATCCAGAAGAGGATTGGGAGAATGTCATATGGTCAGATGAAACCAAAATAGAACTTTTTGGTAAAAACTCAACTCGTCGTGTTTGGAGGACAAAGAATGCTGAGTTGCATCCAAAGAACACCATACCTACTGTGAAGCATGGGGGTGGAAACATCATGCTTTGGGGCTGTTTTTCTGCAAAGGGACCAGGACGACTGATCCGTGTAAAGGAAAGAATGAATGGGGCCATGTATCGTGAGATTTTGAGTGAAAACCTCCTTCCATCAGCAAGGGCATTGAAGATGAAACGTGGCTGGGTCTTTCAGCATGACAATGATCCCAAACACACTGCCCGGGCAACGAAGGAGTGGCTTCGTAAGAAGCATTTCAAGGTCCTGGAGTGGCCTAGCCAGTCTCCAGATCTCAACCCCATAGAAAATCTTTGGAGGGAGTTGAAAGTCCGTGTTGCCCAGCGACAGCCCCAAAACATCACTGCTCTAGAGGAGATCTGCATGGAGGAATGGGCCAAAATACCAGCAACAGTGTGTGAAAACCTTGTGAAGACTTACAGAAAACGTTTGACCTGTGTCAAACAAAGGGTATATAACAAAGTATTGAGAAACTTTTGTTATTGACCAAATACTTATTTTCCACCATAATTTGCAAATAAATTCATAAAAAATCCTACAATGTGATTTTCTGGATTTTTATTTCTCATTTTGTCTGTCATAGTTGACGTGTACCTATGGAGAAAATTACAGGCCTCTCTCATCTTTTTAAGTGGGAGAACTTGCACAATTGGTGGCTGACTAAATACTTTTTTCCCCCACTGTATGTGTATGTACAGGCACAGAACAGCAATGACTTCAGTTATAACTTCGGTTGTCAAGCCCAAAAAATGGGTGGCCACTGGCCAGACACTCTACGATTTATACCCTGGCTGCAGGCTCCCGATTAACATTTATCCAATCACAGGGAATCGAAATAAACTCAGGGCGGAATCTTTTTGTTGCAGCCTGCAAAGTGTAAGCACTTTCCTGAGCACTCTACGGCAACCCGATAATTTTCTGACATGTTAGAACATTCCGGGAGTGCTCCGCACATATGCGAGGCGTGTCCCAGATTAATATGGCGTCAGCCAATTAGCTACTCGAAATGAGCGTAAAACTTCCATTCTCTTATATTGGCCCGGCATCGTTTCACATTTTAACAAATAAACAGATAAAATCAAACATGTATAATTACGCATGCACATATTTTTCCGGTCTGCTCTGGTAGAATCTAACAGCATCTTTATCTCATGCTGAATGATTGAAACCTGCCATGTCAAAACGCAAGTCTGTCAATGTAACGAGCAAGAAAAACCTATCACTTCTCCCCTTTTGTCATATAATAGGACATGCAGTGCATTCTAAATGCAATCAGTGTTTTAAATATCAAACTTGGTTATCGCTGACAGAACTTATTAATGACAGACGTCAGGGCAGCTCTGTGGTGGAAGCAAAAAAAAACGACTGAGCTATTAAGGTGATATAACAGACGTTTTTGGGGGGAGCCAAAATATGTTCCCAAAAATGATGTTTCACATTATTGTGTGCATTTGGGGTGATTCAGACTTGGGATAAGTAGACTTAACATGGACTTAAGTCAACATTTGTTTTTTATTTAAGTCCATGTTAAGTCAACTTATCTCAAGTCTGAATGTGCATGTGGAGCAGGTTGGCATTTATTGAGATGACTCATGTACTGGAGGCAGCTCTGCAGAGTGGTCACTAGCTGGCACAGCCACAAAGTCATACAATCTGTCGGTGCCGTTTAAGATTAGGGAGGACCATTCCTTTTTTAGGAGCATGGCCTCATTTCTATTACAGCATATTGGATGACTGTCATTCATATTCCATTCATCCAGCTCAATGTAACGTCGATAGGTTTAGGCTACTACATGATACTCGAATTTGACCTATATCCATCATGAGGTTGCTACAAACTAGCCTACAAATTGAAGTTTATAACGTTGGTGCACAGGTCGAGAGACTAATTGGAGTAATCAAGGTGACAGACAGTGACACATTCAATACCGCCTTGCACACTCTTGCCTGCATCTAGCTGATCTGCTGTGTAATCATGAGTCCAAACAGTTGCAAAACGTTCCGTTCTGCAACAAAAACAAGAGTTTCTATTGGACAAATTCAGGTAGGTCCCACTCCGTTTCGTTCCATTTGCTTCTGTTTAAGAAATGTTTTGCAACAGAATCGGCGGAATGAATACACCCCTGGTCACCCGCACACACAGTTCACTTTCATAGCAGCCACATACAGCATCATCACTTTGCTTGTTGTATAATTCCTTCTTGTATCTACGCACTCTCCTCCTCTCACTTTTTCCCTTCACTAGTAGACTTCAATGCACAACACAAAAGCTGCCTGTGACCAGGATCAAAAGGCCTGTGACCTCATCAAGCCAAACTTTCATAGCATAACCGCTAACCGCTACACAGCCTACATCGTTGTCACCATATTAATGCTATAGTCAACAAACTAGAACTAACACGTTAGTAAACCCACAATCTAATCCATGTGTACAATCACTCAGTGTAGTGTACATAAAGCAGTATAGCAGTTACACTGGTGGCCCCCTGTGGCAATAAATTAATAAAACCGAAAGCTTACCTTGACATGGAAGAGTTGCAGTGTTAGATAGCCTTAGCCAGCTAGCTAACATCAATAGCATTCCTTTATGTTTGAGTCAGGTTGTTGAGTAGGCTAAATTAGCTGCATTAGCTAAGTGAAAGGTAGACTAAGAAGAAATTAACACTTTATTTGGATAGTCCATATGTAGATGATCTACAGACTATCTACAGACTATCAGTAATATTTCAACTAACTATCTACTAAACCTAACCTTAACCCTTACCCTAACCCTTTTTTCTAAACCTAACCCTAACCCTAATCATAAACTCTAAAAAATGTGCTGGGTAAATAGTGGACAGAACAAACGTTGGGTTATTTATGACCCAGCCAGTTGGGTCACTTAGTTGGGTTATTGAGCTATAGTGCCTTGCAGAAGTATTCATCCCCCTTGGCGTTTTTCCTATTTTGTTGCATTACAACCTGTAATTTAAATTGATTTTTATTTGGATTTCATGTAATGGACATACACAAAATAGTCCAAATTGGTGAAGTGAAATGAAATAACTTTTTTCAAAAAATTTCAAAAAAATAAATAACGGAAAAGTGATGCGTGCATATGTATTCACCACCTTTGCTATGAAGCCTCTAAATAAGATCTGGTGCAACCAATTACCTTCAGAAGTCACATAATTAGTTAAATAAAGTCCACCTGTGTGCATCATCTCAGTATATACAGTGGGGAAAAAAAGTATTTAGTCAGCCACCAATTGTGCAAGTTCTCCCACTTAAAAAGATGAGAGAGGCCTGTAATTTTCATCATATGTACACGTCAACTATGACAGACAAATTGAGAAAAAAAAATCCAGAAAATCCCATTGTAGGATTTTTAATGAATTTATTTGGAAATTATGGTGGAAAATAAGTATTTGGTCACCTACAAACAAGCAAGATTTCTGGCTCTCACAGACCTGTAACTTCTTCTTTAAGAGGCTCCTCTGTCCTCCACTCGTTACCTGTATTAATGGCACCTGTTTGAACTTGTTATCAGTATAAAAGACACCTGTCCACAACCTCAAACAGTCACACTCCAAACTTCACAATGGCCAAGACCAAAGAGCTGTCAAAGGACACCAAAAACAAAATTGTAGACCTGCACCAGGCTGGGAAGACTGAATCTGCAATAGGTAAGCAGCTTGGTTTGAAGAAATCAACTGTGGGAGCAATTATTAGGAAATGGAAGACATACAAGACCACTGATAATCTCCCTCGATCTGGGGCTCCACGCAAGATCTCACCCCGTGGGGTCAAAATGATCACAAGAACGGTGAGCAAAAATCCCA